AAGCACTACTTTGTTCCACCTTGGTACTCCGTAGTTTAATGTTCGTGACAGTGCGTGTTTTTGTTTGTTTGTTTGTTTGTTTGTTTGCTCGTTTGTTTGTTTGTTTGCTTGATTTTTTTTACAAGATATTACTGATTGTAGAGAAATCCAATGTATATCTTACAAATCCTCGTGCCCCTTACTATTCTGCCGCTGATTGATAGAGACAGGAAAGGTCATGTGATGCCAGTTTTGAATTCCGCTTTTGTGTACTCAGTGTGGGGTTGTCAGAGTATACTTCTTCCGGAGTGCTTCCAAATCGACATGCCGTTTTCAGAGCCTTTGCTGAATCTGTACATTCCCCCCCCCCCTTGATACGTTTTCACGCTGTTCCGTCAACAGAGCCGCATTGTTCTTTCTGCTCAATGCTTATTAGCCAATGATAAAACTAGTTGTGTTTTAAAGCCTGGGAATGGTGGGAAGGTAGGGTTTCGGTTCCAGCTTTGATATCAAAATTAGTCGTCTGTCAATGTTTAGTAATTTTTAATGCCTGTGTAGATCAGTGGTAGAAAGAACCGCGATTGTAGGCTCTCTTGTATTTCCTGATACTTTATCGTTGAGATGCGTAGTGTTTCGATAAGAAGTCGTTCGGAAATTTTAAAGAAAAGTTGAATTCGAGTTGTCCACGTGTTTTGACCCTAATTTATTGTGTCAGGTTTTTGCCAATTATGACGCGCGGATAACACAGGGGACGAACTGACAAGACAGGAGAAATCCTGGTGTTCATTCACTCTTTTCTATTTCGGTGTGTCTTTCTGTCAGTGTGTGTGTGTGTGTGTGTGTGTAGGTCTGTCTGTCGGTCTCTGTCCATGGTTATGGATCTCTCTGTCAGCCCCCCCCCCCCCTCCGAAAAATATAGTTTAAAAAATGATAAATAATCCCAGTAGTTCATTGGGAAGTCAAATTCCATCGTGGTCGCATAACGGAATCCTTGATCACACAAAATAACTTTGGCTTGGTCAACGAATGGACCTGGTAATTAATGCAACTACATTTGTACTTTGGTATAAGATAGGAGTTCACAGAGAGTGCAAAAACGGTGGGCAAATGACCCCGCGCTAACGAGGGGGTGATTACTCTCGTTCCCAGGGTGTTGTCGTGAAATTGTTGGCCTTGATACCCAAACTTAGACACTCTTGCCTGCACTGAGCGAAGTACTGAAACACAAAGCAGGTCCAGTCTCTTCTTTTGTGAAATCACAGTCTAATGCTGTAGTGGGTTTATCTCTCCCTCATCCACTCACTTCTCTCTGTCTCCCTCCCTCCCTCCCTCTTTCTCCCTCTCT